GAAATCTCCAAGAACTGGTTCCTTTTGCAATTACAAATATAGAACCACAACGATGGTAGAATTTTATATATGACTGAAAAGAAGGTATTTAAAATGTTCTGGGTCATTACCAAATGACTGTGTTTTTACTCTGAGCCATAGGGTGATTCTAGAAATGAAGCTTATGAGTACATAGAATAGTTTCTTTCATGTTAGTGGCTATAGCTTAGTTAAAGTTGTACATGTGTTTTCCTTGGCAGTTTTGCACATTAAATAAAATACGTCTCAAAATCTGCGTTGCTACTTATTGGTTGTTCCTGCTGTGTCCTTTTCTTTAGATCAGTGCTTTAAAGCATGAGCCTTCTTTTCACCTGGAGCTTCCAGGCTTCTGGGCTGCTTAGGGGTCCCCTTGCTCGTGGTCTCAAGGCAGAACCTGGCAAAAGACAGGAAAGGAGTTTTAAGAACTACACAAGTCTAAACCATGTATTCCAGTGGTGGCATTCCCTCTGAAGAAGGGTGTTTTACTACCTTACACAGAGGTGAGCAGTGCACTAACCAGCAAAACTGTGAATTTTGAGGACGTTTTGTGTTTCTGTGTTTCCTTTGTGAATTTTTGTTCTCACCTTGATGTCCTCTATACATTCCCCTATTATTCAGTCAGTTACTGTGGTTTTTAACAGCTTTTATTCAGGCCCAAGTTTCATGCCGTCATACTGAAGGAAAAGGAAAATGAAGCTATGTACTTCTGACAATACTGCTTTTGTGCTATTTGTGATGTAAGAAATTGGGACTAAAAAGTTTGTTTTAGTACAAAGCCTCTCTTTGTAGATTTAGACTTAAAAAAGGCAAGAAAGGATCTTCCCAAAATACAGGATAAATGAACTTCCTAGTGTATGTATCAATACTAAGGTTCTGGACAGATGGTATACTTAAAATACAGTTTATATTTTTATATACATGTGTATATATATATATATATGCTCTGAATGTGAGTGCTTAAATTGCCTCAAGAGGCTGTTCTGGCTTTTCTCAAGATACACTAAAATCTCAGCCTATTTTGAAAATGTATGTTTTTAGTGTGTAACATTAAACAAGAGACTTGTGTTATTAATAATTATGTTTTCTTAGAAAAGCCAAATGCACCACTTATGGACTGCTTCCTGATTGGCAACTTTTTGATCCAGCATCTAGATGTCAGTGACCTTAAGAAACATCACCTCCCAAACAAACAAAAGAGGACAAGTTTCCTAGAGTTAAGTGCTGCTCTTGATTTCCCTACTTTATGTTGAGATCTTTGCTCTGGATATTCAGGACAGGTGAATCTTATCGTGCAGCATACACTGCTGAAAACAGAAAAATCGTTTTATGATAGCTTACTGCTCTTGGATTTCCTTTGTAATCTGTCCCTGAGCTAATTAATGCAGCTCTGAAGATTAATTTAAATTCTAATGATCCATTGTAATAAGGCTGAGTATCTATTTGGAGAATTTTAATGTTGCAAACTCTTAAATATAACAGCCTGAAATTTAATGGACCCAACTGTTCGGTATAAAATACTTTAAAGTTTAAATGCAGTCTTGTTTTCAAATGGCTTTGTATCTAATTTTTCCCATCATAAAGCAGCCAAGGCTGTTCCAGGTTTCAGAAATGAAAGACCTGAGGGCATTCCTTGGGGAGCACCTGGATGTCACTGCAGGAGTAGACACAGCTCTTTCAGCGAGACAACTGTCATTGCTCAGCCCTTGTGTTGGCTGCAAAGACGTGACAATCTGCTTTAGGAGAGGTTTTCTTTGTTTAGAATTGGAAATGGGAGCAACCTACTGATAATGTTTTGAGATCTCTGCCCATGAATCAAATTTGTAGCCTTATGTTTCTTTCTTGAACGCAATGGGGATAGATTTGTTGAGTCACAAGGCCGCTATATGAAAGAGGTCTGAGCTATGCCAGCATCTAAATATCAGGTTTAGCCACGCCTGAGCAGTCTGAGAGAACAGAAACAATTAAAAAAATGAATGTCACAAACATTGTGAATAAAAGAAAATGCAGTAAGAATGCTCTTCTGTTTAATATATGCTTAGTTGTTACAAAAGAAATTATAAACACATTAGCTTTCAGATGAACCCATAAGCCTGCAAAGATGAGAGCAAATTACTGGATATAACAAGGTCAGGTGGAAACAGAGAAGAAAAATAAAGGTAAATAAAATGTTTAGGGACAAATAAAAATCAGCATATGTGCCATTATGTATCAATAACCTGGTTGTTTGTCCAGGTATGGACAAGCTTATTACTCCCTTGCTGAATTCATGCATGTGAGTGTGTTACTAGTTCCAACTGAGAGTACAAACAGTGGTTACTTTCAGGCAGAAATATTACACCATGTGTCCCATGTTTCTCCTACAGTCTCTAAGTTCCTTTTGTAGGTGCTACTTCACACACACAGAAGGGTATTACTTAATCACACATCCAGTGATCCTCTCCACCATTCTTTAATGATCATCTTGGAATGTGGAGATGTTTCAGTGAAAGGGCTTTGGCCAAAGTATCCTGATAAAAGAGTGCTATGGGTGATGCTGGCCAAGGGAGACCATTCTGCCTTGTTCTGGCACATGAACCCAATGACTTTTTCCAGTAGATGTGTGTCCCCAGGCAACTTTAACTGAGCTTACATATTAACTGACATTATTCCTTGCATTATCGCCCAGTAATTAAATATGAAGTGTTGTTTTAACATAAAGGCCATATGAAAAACTGAACAACAGATGGAAAAAAAGATTTAAAGTGTGTGTTGGGAAAAGCAGCTCTTTTAAGCCAAGAAAACCCGAGCGGATAATGGCTGATGAGAGCTGGATGCAAAGTGAAAGACTTGGTAAATGCTGAGAAGTAACAGTTAGGAAGCAGTGATTGCATGTAATGGAAACCCTTATAGGCCCTTGTAATAACCTTGGAAAACTTAGTGTAGTTAAGTAATGAAATTATTCTGCAGATTTGGAGAAATGAAGATAGTTTCTCTGCTACCTTATTTGATTTTTAAAGCTCTTACTTCTGCACAAAGCCTTTGAAGGCCTCTGTGTCTTGGCCCTTTTTGTTTAATCCAAGTTTGTTTTCTGATACTCAGTTTAGGCACTGACACAATTCTCAATTTCATAGTAATCAACTATTTCAGTTTAACCATTTGCATTTTCACAGTAATTAACCATTTCAGGTTTAGCCTCAAAACTCTTTGGGAGAATTTTTATCCTTAATCTGCAGAGGGAGCAGTGAAACGCTTCAGTCCAGATTTCCAAGGTGTTCCAGTGATAATTTTGTTCTTTAGGCACATAGTTTTACCTTTTGTTTATTTACAGCCTCAGCCTCTAAGATGTGCCTGGAAAGAGAGATGGGTGGTTCTGTGAGCATTTCCTGACCAAGTGTAAAAATACCTCATTTATGAAGCCCACTTTGGAAGTGACTTATGGTGCTGTCTGGAGTGAAACAGCTTAAAATATGCAAACTAGTGAAAACAGAACTGTTTAGCCAAGAGCACGGCATTATTAATTAGACTCCAAAGAACTAAGCAGCAATCAAATGATGCCAAGGTGGGCTTAAAGACCTGGCTTCAGCCAGCTAAAGGGGAAGGGTGTTTGAATTGAAATGGATGATTGAGTGTAAAAGAAAAAGCTCACAGTGGCCACTGCTGACCCTGACCCTGTGTACAGGCAGCTGCCAGGGCCTGGGGCTCACCCTGAGGCTGCAGGAACCCTGAGTGAGACCCTCCCTGGGCCTGCGTTAAAAGAAGCCTCGTCCCCAGTCCTGCCCCTGGGCTTCCCACCTCCACCATCCCGAGTCCCTCTCCATGCCCTGCCTGAGGAACACCAGACCACTGGACAGAGCCCCGTCTCACCACCCTGCTCAGGCTTTGGTTTGTTAAAAAGCCCATTGATCAGCAGATGAAGCCATGGATTGCCATGTCAGCAGGGACGCCAGCTGGCAACAGCCAGTGCAGAGGGTAAGATTCCGTTTAAGATTTCCTAGTGCTCTGATAAAAGCTGATTGTTATAGTTTGATGATTGAGAAATAGGAGTTATAAATTAGATTTTTTTTTTTTAATATAAACTCTGTGTACGGTAGATCAGAATCTGGCTGGAAAGACTGAGATAGTATAAGAGTGAATCCTGTAATAAGCAGTAATAGGAAATAAAATTTTGATATCGTATTGTGTTAAAATGCTTCACAGTTGAGCAACTGGAACACAGTTTAAAAAACCACAGATTAAAATATTAGACTTAAAAATAAAGCTGTTTGCCAAAATATGACAGCTTCAGGGTCATAACTTTATTATTTCATGCTGCCACCTACTGCTCTAGAATTAGAATAGGAAAAAGTAATTGGTATCTTTTTATCAGTCTGATGAGCCTGTTTACCACTTTGTGAGGTTATTCTCCATGCCATGTATGGCACCACTTCTAAATGGTAAATGTTCCCCAGATCTTTAATTTTTCCTCATGAAAGGATGTGCCTTCCAAACATAAGGATGTTGTCACTTCAAAACTACTGCTTTAGCCTAAGCACAGTTATTCCTAAAACAACAGTAAAATGTTAATTGAAAATCAATGTTATATGACTATTCTGTTAAAAACTAACTCAAGCCATAACTTCTGTAATTTTGTGGTAGACCAAAGACTGTGATTGTAACAAAAGATTTTTATGCTAACATGAAAGTAGTTTTTTAGAGCTGGCTTAGAGGTATAGACCTTTGACCATACCTATTGACTCAAAGTTGCACTTAATGTACTTAGAACTAAAAGAGAACCCCCCCACCACTATATTTTGTATTGCAGTTACTGCGTTTCCTGGCCACACATATCTTGAACACCATCAATGGACTGCTGGGAATCCTGAAAACAGCAGTGTTAATTTCACAGTGGTTTTGAAGACAATATTATGCATCCTGTCTGCATATAGTGACTGGAGAAAAAAAAAAGGTAAAATATACAGTAGTGTTATCAGTAACCAGTGCTAGACAATTAATAAACAAAAAAATGCAACAATATACTATATTTTTTAATTTGCTAGGAGAATAGCATCTAATAAGTAGAAACCCATTATTGAAGGTCCATTAAAATACTCCATAGAGATATAGTGGCAGAATATTCAGCTGAAATAATCCTCATCGTGCTGGTGGCTATTATTTCAGGTTCTGCAGTGCTTTCATGCTTTGTATCTTCTTTTCTTCCAGTGCCTTCAGAAGTTTATCTAAACAGGAATAAAACATAATTTGTCATTAATTTTGTCATTAATACTTTTGAGAAAATCAAATAATGTATTAAGCAAACTAATAATATTCCTTACAATAACTCGTCTAGAAAATATCTGAAAACTACAGTTTCTCAAAACAATAAGTATTAAAATGGAAAAACATTTGCTATAACAAGGGAAAAAATATTAATTTCCTGTTCTGAAAAGTAAATATATGCAAGCTACCTATCAGAATGTCTTTGAGATCTTCCTTCATATGTATATATCTGATGCACATTTTTTCTGTGTTCTTGTAACCTTTGCACTGCTGAAGGTTTCCTGACTAGCAGCCCGTGGCCCTGAAGGAAATGAGGAGCATCATATCCTTGCAGCTGTTGGCCTCGCTGCTGGAACTCTTAAAGTATCGCGACCTGATGAGCTATTTTATTTCTTGCATTTCCTTCACGGCCAGCGGGTTATAAAATTAAAATGCCAAAGTTTAGCTTGTTTCGGGTTCCCCCCGCCCTCCATCTATCTGTGGCCGTCAGTGGCGTTTATTCCACGTCGATGCGATTTACAACCGCAGGGTCTCATTAGTAGCGGACACATTTTGCACGTACAAACTCCCTCTGATTCTGCGTTGTTTTCTTGTTAACACCTCGGGGAGGTGGGGGGTGGTGATGTCTGTGCCTTTGCGCAACTGTAACTACATCCCTAATTCTTACGCCTCCCTGAATTTGTGCCCTCAGCCCGGGGAGATGAGCTGGGACAGTGCTTTTGCTCCCTGCACCCCTGTGCTCGCCCAGCCGTGCCGCGTCCCCTGGGCTGCTGCGGGGCACAGACCACCCTTCAGGGCGATGGGGGGACCTGCTGCCCTTGCGGCCGGGCTGCGCTGGGGGGTTGGCAGGGGGTGTCATCCCAGCAGCGCCGACCGCTCCCGGGCGGGACGCACACTGCCTGGCGTCGAAGCCGTCCCCGACGAGCGCCGCCAGCTCCAGCTCCTTGAGGCGGATGCCCAGCTCGCACATCTCCTCCTGCAGCTGCAGCTGCAGCTGCTCCGCCGGCCGCCCCCGCCCCGCGACCCCGCCCCGCGCCCCCCGCGCCCCAGCGCCGGCGGGGCCGTAGGGGCGCAGCGGCTCCGGGGCGAGGGGCGCGGCCAGCGCGGCGTAGCGGGGCGGGGGCCCCGCGGCGGCGGCCGGCAGGGGCTGCCAGGGCCAGCACATGGCGGCGAGGGGCGCCCAGGGGCCGCCGGCCGGGCGGGGCACGGGCTCGGTGCCGTGGAAGTGCGGGAAGTACAGCGGCGGCCACGACGGGCGCTGCACGGTCATGGCTGCCGCGGTACCGGCGGTTGTGCCTGAGGAACCCCGGGCGGTACCGGCGGTTGTGCCCGAGGAGCCCCGGCTCAGCCCCGGCGGTTGTGCCCGAGGAACCCCCGGCCCAGCCCCGGCTCAGCCCCGGCGGTTGTGCCCGAGGAGCCCCGGTCCAGCCCCGGCGGTTGTGCCCGAGGACCCCCCGGCCGAGCCCGGGCGGTCCCGGCGGTTGTGCCCGAGGCGCCGCCGCCGCCTCGAGGCGCCCGGGGCTGGTCTCGGGACCCCCCGTTCCTTCCCCTCCTTCACCCTTCCCTCTCCTTCTCCCCCCCGCCCCAGACTCTGTCCCGAGTTCTTAACCTCCCGGGGTCTGTCTCACACGGGAGAGCGCACTTTCCCGGCGCTGCGGAGTTCCTCTATGGAAGGGCAGGTGTTTTCACCCAGCGGTTTTATTTCTGAGCCGGGAACGTGGTGTTTCAGGGGCGCGTTAGGCTCTGAAAGTTGCGTTTGGTAAAAGAAGCGAGGAAGGCGTTCTCCTAAAAGTCTTTTAACTTTTAGAAGTTTATCTTCAGGCTGTTTGTGAAAGAAAGGAGCCATGGACTGACGATGGAAGGATGTTGGTGGTGAGATTAGGGAAAATTTCGTTTTCGGGTACTTGCTCATGGATGGCTAATGCCCTGTGTATCTGATGTTCAGGATTATAAGGTTTTGGGGGGTAGGGGTTCCCCTCCCCACCCCCCTCAAAAAATATAATCTTCCATGATTTTTTTTGTGTTTCGGGATGAGACTTGTCATTAATACTATTTGGCTGCTATTTCTTTAGCCTTAGCTTTTTCCATGAAATACGACAACCCCTTTCCAGCCCTGGGCAGCTAGTGGGGCATTGCTGAATACTGCTGTGGAGCTCAGAACAAAAAGAGCCTCTCTGGCTTTCAGCAGGAGGACTTCTGGGATGGATTTAAGCTGACTCGAGGTGTTTTGCACAACCCTAATAAGAGAGGTGCTAAACCAGTGCTTCTGGTACAGGATTGATGACTGCAGGGGCTGTGGAGATTAGTTACAATTGGTAAATTCACTTGAAACGAGGTGAAAAGCCCACTGCAGTAGTAACAGAGCCTTGAGCAGACTTCAACAATGCACAGCCCTGAAACGACTGCTATGTGCTCTGAAAAAAATTCTATTTTTAAAGCTTTCCCTTGAATAAAATGGAAAGTTTTTCTAGAACCTGGACTTCTGTGTACCTTAACTGTAGTGCTCTGTGCTGTGAGGAGATACTGATGTGAATGTTGTGAAACTCCACAGATCTACAGATGCACAGATGTCACAAGAGTGACAGTGTTGTGAAAAGGGGTAGGGACAGAAAAATAGTGTCAGGAGTCACTTAGTATTTTATTTTAATGTGCACTGTTTAGGGAGTGTGCTCGGACTTGGAGCCAAAGCTCACTTGCTTACATAACTAAAATTCCAGTACCAGTATAATACCAGTACAGGTTTCATATTTCGTAAACAGAACACACATATTTGAAATAAATGTATAGTAAAAGTTAATAACTGTTATAAGTAAAACCAGGAAATTTGCTGTTCAAAAAGAGTTAATGGTGTTGTTGTTATACCCTACTAACCACATTGTTGAGAGTCATAAGTGATTGTGAAATCTCTAACCACGAGTCTGTTAACACAACGCAGAATGACTTGGTGTTTTAAAGTTGTTTGTTGTAAGCATATTAATAGAGACTAATATGGAGGGCAAGCCACGAGGAGTCCTATGATCAGATGACGTCTACCGATGGAAAATTCCAGGACCACGGCCACATAGAGACTATAGACTTTGATATTATTGGTGGAAGCCCCTCAGCAACGGCAAAGACCCGCGAACGGAGGAGCCAACCTTGGACTAGCCCGCGAAGGAGGAACCAGACAGAGGATAGCCCGCGAAAGTTTCACCAATGGACCATGGACATGACTTAGGGGGGTGGGACCAACGAGGGTTATAATTGCTGCTGTTTCGGTTCCCCATTTTGCGGACTGTGGTGGAGCAAGGGTTTCCCCCGGTCGCCCGGCTAGCCGCTTTTGCTTGTTAGTATTAATAAACCTGTTTTTACCTTGCAAACCTAAATTTTAGCCTCTTTTATCCATCACAATTGGTGCCGTGACTCGGATGGAGACCCCTGAGTGATAGAAACACTCTTTGGGGAAGGGCGCCCCCGTCCCTTTTTGGACGGCCCCGGGAGATTCTTTCATTCAGCCTCTCCATACCGACCTGTTTATTAAGGCGAACAAGCAAAAGAAAAAGGTGTGTTCTGCAGATCTCCATAATCTCTGCATGCGGGTCCAGACAACGTCTAGCTCAGGGGTAGCTAGGTGAGCTCTGTTTGAGGGCGGTAGTCGATCAACGGCGAGGCGACTACGTGGTGGGTTGTCTGGTTGGGGAAGGTCCGCTCCAGTGCTCGGGGCACTGCCGGAAAGAGCGAAGACTCGCCCACGGAGAGGTGAGTATTGCGTTCCCCCCTTGGCGGTTGGGAGGGAGTCCTGGGGTGTGCCTGTCTGAGACGTTCCCTGAGAGGAACGAAGTGATTGTGGACCTCCCAGTAGTGCGGTTCCTGTCGCCCGCGAGGGACCAGGCCACGAACGGAGGGAAGCGTTTGTGATTCGAGTGAGTGCGTGTGTGAGAGAAGGCACCCCAGAAGATGGGCTCGGGGAAGAGCAAGGTTTCCCCACCCATGGGTGGCTGTACGGTAGATCAGCCAGGAAGGTCTCTTGATGAGGGACGGCTCCTGAGGTCCGGGGGTTCCCTAAAAGGGAAAGGACTAGGGAGCAAAATTAATTCAGTAAAAAGGAGTTCTCGAGAAAAGCGGCAGGCTACGCTAAAAAGCTGTGTTTCTCAGAATGGGAAGAGCTGTGTCGGAGATTCGTCAGCCGAAAAGGGAAGTGGTGTTGTGGCTGAGACGAAATTAGAATCTCTGATAGAAAAGGGATGTGAAAGCAGCGACTTTGAGGCTAGGTCGCAGGGCATACCAGCAAACAGCCCACTAGGAATTTTGTTAAAGCGTTGGAATAACAACCCTTATACTCTTGGGAAATCAAGAGAGACGATGGTCTACTATTGTATTGAAGTGTGGGGAGGCAGACCAATAGGGAGTGGTATTTGCTGGCCGATTTATGGCACGTTTGAAAATTGGATTTGTGAAATGCTGAATTTTCACGTTAATGAAAAAAGACCCTATTGTCCGGAGGAGTGCAAGTATGCTGTTATCTGGTTGGGGTCTAGTACTCCTACCCGGCTATTCCCCCTTAAAGAACAGGGGAAGCAAGTAAATTGTAATAAAGATTCTGAACTCCGGAGTTCACCTCCCCCTTATATCCCTCCGTACCGGGAGGAAAGTGAAGTGACACCAAGTGCTCCAAGGGTGTCAGAACCCGCCATCTTACCTGAACAAAGGCGGGAATCCACCATTTTAAGTCCAGCAGGGCGAAAGCCCGCCGATTTCTCGGCACAAGGGTGGGAATCCGCCATTTTATCCACACCAGGGCGGGAATCCGCCATTTTATCCACACCAGGGCGGGAATCCGCCATTTTATCCACACCAGGGCGGGAATCCGCCATTTTATCCACACAAAGGCGGGAATCCGCCATTTTGTCGTCCACCTCTGTACACCTGTCAGCCGATAAAGCTAGTGAGTCTTTCTTACCTAATGATATAACAGAGGCTCATGGAATAGCTGAACACCCCCCTCAGAAGTCTCAGTTATACCCTCTTCGTGAAACAGCCGTGCCAGGGAGACAAGGAGGTATAGGATTTGTATCGGTACCTCTCAGTTCGGGGGACGTACGGGCTTTTAAGAAGGAAATGGGAAATTTATTAGAAGACCCCATAGGGGTTTCTGAAAGATTTGATCAGTTTTTAGGGCCTAACACCTATACGTGGGATGAGATGCAGGCAATACTGGGCATCTTGTTTACTGTAGAAGAAAGAGGAATGATTAGAGCAGCTGGCATGAGAAACTGGGACAGAAGGCATCAGCAGGGTCCTGCTGCTGAAACTAAATGGCCTATTGAAAAACCTAACTGGAATAACCAAAGGCCAGAGGATAGAGCTTTAATGGATGATTTAAGAAGTATAATTGTTCAGGGAATACGAGAGTCTGTTCCTAGGGGACAGAATATAGACAGGGCATTCAAAGAATATCAAAGAAAAGAGGAGTCACCTACTGATTGGTTGGAGAGACTAAGAAAAAGTTTTCAACTGTATTCAGGAATGGATCCCGAGGATGATGCTATGGGACAGGCAGTACTCAAACTTAGGTTTGTCCAGGGGTCTTGGGAAGACATTAGAAAGAAACTAGAAAAGAACAGAGACTGGCAAACAAAGGGATTAGATTTGTTGCTGAGAGAGGCTCAGGAGGTGTATGTTAGAAGAGATGAAGTAAGAGAAGAAGAAAAACAAAAAAGAAAAGAGGATATGCAAAGGAAACAAACCAGAGTTTTAGTAGCAGCCATCAAAGGGGAACAAAATGCTGTCAAAGAATTAGAGAAGAAAGAATCTTTTAGTCACAATGATCGGTCACAACGGGGAAAGAATAAGAGGACTAATTATAGGGAACTTGAATGTTACTATTGTGGTCAGAAGGGACACATTCAGAGGAACTGCAAAAAGAAGCAGAAAGATGAACAAGTCTTCTTAGAAGACTGAAGGGGTCAGGGGCTCTATCTGCTGGGGACCCCAAAGAATACTGAGCCCTTGATAAAACTAAAAGTGGGTCCTCAGCAACAAGTTCTTGAGTTTCTTGTAGACTCAGGGGCTGAAAGATCGACAGTGCAACAATTACCTCCAGGTTGCATAATATCAACTGATAAAGTTCAAGTAATTGGAGCAAAAGGGGAGCCTTTTAAAGTACCGGTAATAAAAGATGTTGAAATAGAGGCTTCCAATAAAATTGCCTTAGGAACATTTTTGCTAGTTCCGGAAGCAGAGTATAATTTATTGGGAAGAGATTTGATGATTGAGTTGGGAATTCATTTAGAAATCTCAGAACAGCAATTGAAAGTAAAGATTTATGCCCTTACGGCAGAAGATGAGACTCAAATCAATCCGGAAGTGTGGCATACTTCTGATACAATAGGAAAGTTAAATATAGAGCCATTTGAAATTTCTATAAAAGATCCCAATAAACCTATTAGGG